TTGGAATTAATTTGGAAGTAATATAATGGCCAGCAGGTCCGTTGTCAATTGTACGTCAGATAAAAATTAGGTTTTTGTAAATAATTTATCATTTATGATATTAACAGCTTGAATTTATTGTAGTCAGATACTCTAAACAATTCCTTACACTTATATCTCATCAGTGATATAATGTAGAGTGTTGATTTTTTCTTAAAAATTGTAAACATGTATAAAAACTATATAATTTATAGATTTAGAAGTACAAGTTTTTCTAAAACTCAAATAAAAATAATGTCAGTAACATTGTGTTTTACCTGGACATTTTGATATGAATCATTTGTTCTTTGTAGTAGCGGTGATTCGTTTTCGAACAAAAAAAAACTCAAAATATTATCAAAGATGTAGGTAATTTATTTTTTACTGATAATGAAAGAGGAATCAAGGATCGAGAGGAATAAAAATATTCAAGTTCCATAGATAATATAAACATTTATTTACGCATTTTGAATACAATTGAACACCAAAGGGTTTCTAAAATCATTTTTCTTATCATGACTCTTCGTCGATGACGCGATGGAAATTTATTTTGGATTATATGATTGCATATTTGATATTTTTATACACTAAACATTTTTATAAATTTCATCGGAATTGTTTACAGGTACCATTAACAAATACATCTTGTATTTATTATACATAGTGAGTCGCGAGAATAAATTGATAACGAAAAACAAAGTAACGTAAAGTTTGATTGTATGAGTGTGGGAATCCATTTACATTCATTTACACCGACTAATGCGTTGCATACAAAATAATAATATGTTCTCTGAAATCTATCTAAATAAAAACGATGCGGTGAGATTTACATAACAACTATTAAATATTTCAAATAATATTTTTTACGCATTTATAGCAGTATACAGTATTTTATATATTACACAGTACATTACACAAATTTATATGAAAAGTTTCTCAAATACGACGACTGTCTCGTCTAAAATTATATTTACAACATACGAAAACAGCTGCTTCATCATATACAATAGAATTATAAAAAAGGAAAAGTGCTTGTATTTTTTGATAAAAATAATTGATTAAAAGTGATCAGCTGATTTCTGTTTATATCTCAGAAATCTTTAAAATATAAATCGTGAGCAATCAATGTACATAAAAGTAGTTTTAAAAAATCGAAACAACATAATCATCTGATAATTACAATTCATTTGTAGATTTTTTGTTTTTCATTTTTTACGTTACATCAATTATTGTAATATATAATTTTCTTTAAAAAAATTACCATTCTATTCTATTTTTAATAGTTAAAGCTCAGAATGTGCGTTAATATTCATTGTCACACACAATATGTACTTGATATGATAATTATTCAAGCGAAAATTATAATTTTTTTTAATACACGCGTACTGTACAGAGCTTCGACTATAGTGTTTTTTTACTGTTGCTAATTAACGTAAGTTCAGTGTTCTGTGATACAAAAATAGTCATTCTTGTACTAATATGATACATTATTTATTTTAATAAAATATTATTGATTCGAGGAAAAAAATCAACGTTCATTATAAAATTTCAAATAAAAGTGATTTAAAAACAAATAATATAACATGTTGCTCTGTTATAGGTGGTACCCGAATGAATAGCACATAAAGTATTAATTCCTATTTTTGATTTGAATACAGTTACTTCCAATTGATTTACCAATCGAATACTTGTTTGATTACATCATTTATACAATTTATTAATGAGAGAAACTTTGACGACGATAGTGTGTTTATATAGGCACATTGGGATGATAGATAGTGTGGTAGTACTCGTTTTTTTTTATTTTCAAGATATTGATTTTTAATCAAACATTTTCAATTAATTCACGATAGGTCGATCGTAAATAAACACAATACTGTTCACGTCTTTTTTGCTGTTTTTTTAAATATTTACAAGAACTAAATTAAATTTTTCGAAATCAGATAGTATTTACGATTATTATTTGTATCATCGAGTCGTTAATCACTACTTACACTTACATGTAAAGAAGTATTTTATCACTAATTAATATTTGGTATAGGTTGAGGATTTTTTTTATCGTTTAAAGATAAAAATTTCATTCACTTGCTATTTTTTGTAGAGCAAATTAAGAAACACCATAGACCAATTCGAAAGGATAACCGAGTATCGATTCGAAAAATTGTACATAAATTTGTTGCAGTTATGTTGCATTATTCAGATTCATAATTAGGTAGCAGTCATTCTTGAGCTCACTGTCAAAATTACACTTCATTATAATATAAGTGTTGTGTGTACACAAGTGGATAAGTATTACGACACGTATTCGGTCCAGAGTTATTTATAATTAGTACAGACGAGCAAATTTTCAATTCATACATCGACTCGCCGATCAATTGGAGTATGGATATTTTTATACATATATTTTTTTTGTTTCTGTTGTTTTTTTTACTTAAGGGAGCACTGATACCGTTATGCTACTCTTTACTCACATTACATATTTCTATCACATTTTACTGTCACATTCCAGATTGCTTATTTATTTCTAATAGTTTCGCGTAACGGATTAAAGCCTCAAGTACATTTTTCATTCATGTTTTGTAAATTTAAAATTTTTAAGCGTACAGTTTTTTATTGTAATTATTATTATTTTATTATTTTCCATACGACCATTATTATTCGAACAGACTCCAGATATAGGACATACGTTGAAACGTACGCATCACGAATGATTATGTGATTACGTCTAAAATTTGACTTTTTTGCATTAGTAATGTGAACACAATTAATTTATCCAAACATTGACATTCGAGTAAATCAGGTTTTTACTGTGGGCATACTTTTGAGGTAGTTTGGTAAATTTTTGACGTCTAATACCATCAAAACCATTCTTGTAACAATGATTAACATTCCTTGATACATGGTAAATTTTACATTAATTAGGAGCACAAAAACTGTTTTACAAAGATGGTTAATTTTTGTTTTTTCATTACTTTTACGTATACACATTCAGTCTTGTTAGCTAAATTTATAGACAGCGATTTTCAATACCTAATGGGACATGGTGCGTGATGGATAAGAAAAATGAAAAATGAACTATATGAATAAACTAATAAATTTTAAGTGTTATTTTACTTCAAACTTCGAAGAATTTGACGTATATAAATATTTTATTTATATTAATTGATCACAGTCGATTTTAAAAAGTAAATTTCGCTATCCATTCGAAGTAGCGACGATTAGATTTAAAGATTTTTTTTTTAAATAAAATAAAAATTGAAAACGCAACTAAGAGCGTAGTAATAACATTGAGGGATTCAATTCATAGTTATAATTTTACGAACTGAATACAGTCATGGGTACAATATAGTTTGTCGCAGAAGAAGTTACATATCAGTTGTGTTGATTGTGTACTCTCCAAACCATTTAGAGTCGTAACAATTAAACATCAATTTTAGATTTCAGGATTTAAAAATTATATATGGGTCAAAATAATACTTTTTTACAAAACCGTGCGCACGTATGTCACCGATCTTGACGCGCTTTTGGTATGTTATAGTACATGGTAAAAAGGTCCCAAAAAAAAATTTTTAGACCCCCTCCCCCCTCCTACCCCCCACTTCCGGTATAAACGTCCATTTTCGATCTATATTTTTTCTGAGGACATGAAGCAAGTAAAAAATCTGAAAAAATTCATAAAAATACTTTTCCACAATCCAAACAACCTTGAATTTTTTCAGATTTTTTGAGTGCTTCAGGCCTTCAGATAAAATCATTGAAAATTTCAAAAATCGAGATACGGCGGTATGAGCCGATGTAGTACTCGGAAATTTTTTCAGTTATTTTTCGCATTAAAAAACATAACCTCAATTTTTTTCAGATTTTTTCAGATTACCTAACGCACCTTTTGAAGCCAAAAACCGATTTTTTTGACGAAAATAATTTTTTTAGGACAGTACGGAGCCTCGAAAAATCTGAAAAAAATTTTTTCTTGTTTTTTTCATCAAAATACGTAATCTCAAATTTTTTCAGATTTTTTAATTGAAGGCGATAGCTTCTAGGGCCGAAAAATGCTATTTTTAACAAAAAATGGTTCCTAGAACCCGATGGTTCCGGTGAAAAAATTTGAAAATATTTTTTTTGAATTCCTTGTCAAATTTTAATAAATTTTGACCGTTTCAAAAGTTCGATTGAAGCTTCCTAGCTCATTTTAGAGCATCAAACGAGTTTTATCATTCCTTAATGTCTTCAGAAACGTCTTCAGATATTTTGCACTAATCTTTGTCCTGCTCTAAAATGAGCTAGGAAGCTTCAATCGAACTTTTGAAACGGTCAAAATTTATTAAAATTTGACAAGGAATTCAAAAAAAATATTTTCAAATTTTTTCACCGGAACCATCGGGTTCTAGGAACCATTTTTTGTTAAAAATAGCATTTTTCGGCCCTAGAAGCTATCGCCTTCAATTAAAAAATCTGAAAAAATTTGAGATTACGTATTTTGATGAAAAAAACAAGAAAAAATTTTTTTCAGATTTTTCGAGGCTCCGTACTGTCCTAAAAAAATTATTTTCGTCAAAAAAATCGGTTTTTGGCTTCAAAAGGTGCGTTAGGTAATCTGAAAAAATCTGAAAAAAATTGAGGTTATGTTTTTTAATGCGAAAAATAACTGAAAAAATTTCCGAGTACTACATCGGCTCATACCGCCGTATCTCGATTTTTGAAATTTTCAATGATTTTATCTGAAGGCCTGAAGCACTCAAAAAATCTGAAAAAATTCAAGGTTGTTTGGATTGTGGAAAAGTATTTTTATGAATTTTTTCAGATTTTTTACTTGCTTCATGTCCTCAGAAAAAATATAGATCGAAAATGGACGTTTATACCGGAAGTGGGGGGTAGGAGGGGGGAGGGGGTCTAAAAATTTTTTTTTGGGACCTTTTTACCATGTACTATAACATACCAAAAGCGCGTCAAGATCGGTGATATACGTGCGCACGGTTTTGTAAAAAAGTATTATTTTGACCCATATACAATCATTCGCTGCTAAAATATAGATTTCTGCTGATTCATAATTTAAAAATTTTTCCAAAAAATCTATCCGATATATTTTCTCCTCTCTCATCAAAAAAGTTAAGTCATGCCTTTTTAGTATTGTCAATCAATTAAACTTAAACGAAGCGGTTGTCAACGTTTTCACGATGTTTTTTAACGCGCATTTTCGTCGATTGAAATGCAATGGTCATTTTTTGTTTTTTGATGATAATTGTCGAACGGCAGAGAAAAGAAACTGAATTCAATCGCTACCAGATCTTGTCGCGTGAATTACTTTTCAATTCTTTGACGAAATTTTCTCGCATTCTTTTTCGATGAATTTTGTTTTCTCGCATCAAACTTCAGCATATTATGTTATGGCAGTTTATGCGTGTAAACGTTTATGGCAGCTCAAGACAGAGAGACAGAGAAAGAGTGTCAGAGAAAGAGTAGAGACAACGTTACAGTTGATTGTTGTCAACATCAGTGTGGTGTACAGAGTATAAAAGAGATCCATCTCTTTTATTACGTGCGTGTCATTCGTTTGAGCAAACGAAATCGAAATTACTTTTTCTTTACTTCAAGATTCATAGTAGCGAATCTCTGTCTGGTAATTTTCATTACTTGGGTTTTTGATTTTTTTTGTCGTCGTCTTTGGTTGTTTTGCGCTCGAGCGTTTCCTCGAACAGGCATAAAGCTTTGTGGACAAATTCGTACTGTTCCGCCGTCTGAATCATGCCTCCCCGATCGTATCTGCAATGATAGAAAAAAAAAATTTGAATGTTGTTATGGAATTGTAAAATTCGCAACAAAAAAATGTAATCATCAAACTGAATTATTCATCAATTACATTTTTTACCATATCAACGCGCGCGTGCTCAACGAAAATATGACTACTTCCGCATTATAGTACGTAATCACGTCCGAATCAAAACAATTATGACATTAGTTCGTCATTGATTATTAATCGAAATGTTGTCGTTACCTCATTTGGCACAGTATTCCTAAAATATCGACGCTCCCTTCTCGCGCGAGCTGCGTCATGCCGGTCGCCAGCGCGATGAAGCAACCCGTCCTTCCGATGCCGGCGCTGCAGTGGACGATTATCGGTCCCGGAAGAGTGTTGATTTCCGCTGCCAGACCGACCAGCGCGTCGGCCGTCTGCGGTACTGCGTGATCCGGCCACGAGTCGTACCTTCAAAAAACACATGATGTTAATTTCTCATATAAAAATCGAAATTGTTTATTCGATATGATAAATATATGTATACCAATAGTGTTGAATGATTCTCCTCTCGTTCTCGTATCTGACTTCAAGATCGCGAACCGTGTAACCACCTCGGGTGTCCATTGAGTTGAGAATAATCGTGAAGGGTCCGGCCTGCAGTCGAGAGTTCATCTCGAGTGGGAAATAAGCCTCGCACTTGGTCTTCGCGGACTCGTGCAGTCTCGTCATCATGACGATTATGGGCGTCCTTTCCGCCCAGGCCATGCTCCAGAAATCCTGTATCGTGTGCGACAGGGGACCCTGTGTCGCTATGTATCTCGCGTCGTCATCGTATCCCTACGTTTCAAGGACAACAACAAACGTGAGTTGAAAAAAATGTTCTCCGTTTGCTTAGATATTATTTTTTCGTTTCATCGACTCACTCGGACGTAATTAGCATTGATATAGGTAGCCAGGGGATCATCGCCACCGGGCAATACAACGCGAGATCTGGCGTTGGGCAGTACCGATCGGTACCGATTTTTCACCCCGGAACCACAGATGTCCACGGCCTCGGGGAAGTTGAGCGGCACCTCCCAGAACTCCTTGTGCAGCAGATGGGGCTGACAGATCGCCCTGTGCAGCTGACTCCTGTTCAGCAGGTTCCCTGTACTCAGCAAAAATTCCTCGGCGCATTCTCGCGTCGGCGTTATGCTCAGGGGCTGGCTCTCGGAAGCCGGTCCCAGGTCGATGGTCAAACTCGCGCTGGAGCCACGGCGCTCCAGCAGTCCCTTGACGCGTCTTTGAATGTGCGTCTGCTCGGGTCTGATCATCATGCCACCACCCTGCTGCTGCTCCATCGTCGTCGTCGAGGAGGACGAGGACGAGGTCGACGTCATGATCGTCGACATGTGCGTCGAGTACATGGATCGGGTGCGACGATTGCCTTCGCGCCTCGGCGATCGCTTGGTGAGCTTGCACACGCCCATGCTGACCGACGAGGCGTTGCTCTGGCTCGCGCTGCTGCCGCCGCATTGCGACGCCGTCAGTGTACTACTGCTACTGCTAGTGATGTTGTTGCTCTGTAGCTGTGCACCGCCGGTGAAGCTTCCACAGCCACCGGCACTGATCGTCGTCGTGTGATGCTCCGAACTGCTGCAACTGGCCAAGGATGAGGATGCCGTCTCGATGCGTTCGACGCACGACGTCGAGACGTGCGGAGTCGGTCCTGCGACCCATCGCGTTTCCGTTTGCTTTATTTTCATCTTCTCAAACTAAATATAAAAAAGTAAAATCGTAAATTTAAATTATTAACTTCATGACCTTGAATGAGAAGCGTAAACGATAGTGTCTTTTACCTTCACATTTTCTGTGATAGCAGCGGCTACCTGTGTCGCTGACGCTTCAGCTGAGATCTCCGTCGATGTGGCGTCGTCAACCCACTTGGCTTCGGTCAATGATTTTGATTTATTGTTCTTGTCAGCGTCGTCGAGTGGACAGGCTGTACCTTCCTCCACCAAACCACGTCTGTCACCCTCTTCCGCGTCTTTCTCACGCGACATTTGCTGTCGCAGCCATAACAGGATCTGTATCATCAGACAAGCATACGATGAATAATTAGATAATTGTTTGCGTCCCATCCTCAGAACCTAAATAACGAAATCAATGGACAATCGAGAGATTGGTTTTGTTAAAGGTTTTATTTTTCAATGAAAGCCAGAGAACTTAAACTTAAGCAATATGTGTCATCATTAGTACTGCAATAATGGTATTTACCAAGAAAGCAAAGAGAATGGCACCAGCAATGGCACAGAGAGCTACAAGAAGAGGCAGCTGCTGCTCCAGCCCTGCCGGAGTCGAGGCAGAGTTGAACTCCCGACTGGTATGGGCACTGAATTGCGCCACACGCAAATCCATTCCAGCATCGTCCAGTCCTGTTGTGGACCGCCAGAGTCTGTGTTAATCGAGAAGACAATATTAGCATTGTTATTTAAAAAATACACCTGTTTTTTGGTAATTGAGCAAGCAGCAAGAAGCTTTTAATATTATTAGGTTTTCACAATAAAAATGAACAAATATTAAAGAATGATGAATTATTATTACTTGTAGCTTGAACTTGCTGACATTCCCTCAGCACTGATGTTGAATTAGATGGCTGGGCTTGTAAAAGATGTTTTACAAGTATCGATTGATGGTATATTATAGATTACTTTATGTGAGTGTAGACCAGTAGACCTGAACAGTTTTAGTAAGTAGAAGTAGCATCGAGCAAGCCATGCTACTTTATATTTTTTGTATTATATTATCCGCAAAGCAGCTTGTGTTATAACTTGGTATGTCGATGAGGAAAAAACTTGTCAGCCAGCAAAAAATTGTCCTGCACAAACATAATAAATACAACAAGGTCAGTAAACATTAGGCCATTAGTAATAACGAAAAAAAACTTAAAAGTAGCAAAGGGCAAAGGTTTTTAATGATGAAAGTTAAAAGTGTAATAATATAAAGTGTACGTATGTACCATGTAAGAGAGGAGGAGGAGGAGGAAGAGGCGAGGTTTATAAGCGTTTGGGGATGACATCACATCTTCAAGTAATGAGAGTAAAAAAAGATGCTCACGCGATGACGTTATGAACGAGAGCTGCTGCTGTCGAAGCGATATATAGATATGTGTATTTGTATGCTTTGTGTATATGTTGTAAATGTGTATATAAATGGGACGAAAGAAAAAAACGGAACTGACCGCATACTACGATTCACATTATTATCGACGAACACGCTCGAAGCTTTTCAAAATCCGTGTACATCAATTACACAGTCTCGCATACTATATACAGTTCCGTTGATCGCACCTACGACAATATCGGCGTCGCGCGATGATGCCTGTTTCTGTGCTCTTCTTGCACGACTCGTGCCGTTTTGTATTGTATACACACAGACGAATTTCCGAACGCCAACAACACCACGCAAAGTTCATCTGCCAAGTATTATAACAGCACTCATTATCGTCAGCGTGTGTATATAAATAAATACACACTCGCACAGACACACACACACACACACTTGCATATATCGCGGCTTATAATATAGGTACAAGCACTGATGAATTACCGACGAGTATAATCGTCGAGTACGCCGCCGCTGCTGCGCGTTATAATGTTATGAACGAACGCGGAGCATGAAGCGGCGTGTATATATATGATGATACGAGAACATGAACGAAGTGCTGCAGAGAGAGAGAGACTCACTCGCCAGCAGCGGTGCTCTGCTTTCGCACACTGAGGAATTGCATGAATCGAGCATGCGCTAAAATATCAACGAACGAGAGACTCGGAGTCGGGCCGCCGCCGCCCCCCCGCCTCACCGCCGCGCCGAGTCTCTTTCATACACATATATAACGTACGCTCGTACACATTCTCACGCGTCTCTCGCACACTATGTAATAACTGCCGCTCGGCGCTCTTGTGAATCGACTTCGCGTCGCTATGAATGCACTCTTTCATGAAAAAAAAAAAGAAAAAAAAATACGCGCGCGCGCATACCTCGCGTCGTCAGCTGTGGGCTGCTGCGCTCGCATTATAATATATACCTACATGTCGAAATGTACGAAGGTAAACAAAATTAGTGCTAACGCGAATATTTACATTTAATAAGCGATCGTTCGTTTTCGTTGCTTTTTTTTTCTGCCTTCCTCGCGCATTACATATCGAGCGGTATATTCACCGACGATTCTGCACTTTCTTTCGCGCCCGCCCTACTTGCGACTTTTGTTTTGCTGCGCTGCGCGGATGTTTTTATTTCGCGCGAATTAGGCAGCAGAGGGCGACGCTAAGCAGTCAGCTCAGCACTCCTCGCCGTTCATTCATCGATACGCTGCGCTTTTGAGCGAATAGAAGGTATTACGATGACGATGACGACCGGGTGATGGTGTCGGTGGCCGCTTTTGTTTTCATTTCGCGCTTAAAGCCGCTGACGATGAAGTGCGAAAATAATAACGCTCAGCCCCGTTATACCGATGAAACGCACGATGTGGTTATTGAAGCACCGACAAGACAACGATTCAAATGGATCGCGAGCCGCATTTATCCGAACTTATAATCGTGTTTAAAATATTCAAATTCACGGTGGCAAAGATTAATCGGTGTCGCGTGGCGCTGATTTTCTTTGTGCGACGTTGTTGACTTATTTTTATATAGGAGATCGACGAACTGCTGCAGCCTATATGTGCAGCACGAAACGAGGGACAAAATTTCCAAGTTAAATTTCTTTTACCAGCAACGCGCCTCGTCCGTGTATTGTTTTCAGAATACACTTGTAGCTAATTTCGATTCTATCGCGCGGTCACTCGCTACCGATCGCTTACCGATCTTGTATCTTGTGGTTCGGAACCTGGTCGACACCGAATTTCGTGGAACGATTTTGATTATCTCAATTACGCTCAATTACGTTCTCTTTATTTACGAGTGTTTTTTTTTCTCGAATAAGTTCGCGCTATCTCGCACGTTGCAACGAAAAATTTGTTTTCTCATCGACGTGCGTCGCGTGCGCGGAGACGAAAGACACACGCTGTGCATCGTTTTATCGCGCGCATCGTGTCGTTGAATTATCAATGATACATTTGGCGCTCGAGAGCAGATCGATATCTCGCGGTATTCTTTTCTTCGGATAAATTGACAATTAGGGTCGTAACAACCAATTTTTTTTTTTTTTTTTCGTCAAAGGTCGCGACGACGACGGATACCTCGTTGCGAATCTCGCATTCCTCCTGAGAAATTTTCAGTGCGTACGATTACGTAATGCGCTCTATGCCACTATTCATCCATTAGCAGCACACGTGCACTCTCGTGCGTGCAACTCTGAACTTTTGTACTCTTTCCCGCGGAGCGAGCCGACTTATATCTAATTATGACAATGCCGCGTGCACGATATACGAACCGTAATCGCGAACGGCTTTTCTTTCGTTTCAAGATCGGTATTATAACCCTTGACTCTCTCTCTCTCTCTCTCTCTCTCACGCTATAAAAAAAAATGAAGCGTTCGCCGCATTGCTCACGATACGGAAATATACTTCGCGCTCGCGTTGCGAATTTCTTCGTCATTTTTCATTCTTTCTTTTTTTTTTCATCGGCCTGACGCGCGCGCGCAAGAGAGCGATCGGTCGCGGGTACATATATGTATATCGTTATAGTATCGTGATTCATATGATATAGAAAAGATATCGAGAAGAAGAGAGAGGCAACAGGCGTCAAGCTCGCACGCCAGTGCGTAAGGTCAATACAGTAATTCTTTTATTTCTCTCTCTTTCTCTCTCGACTCCGCACGGTAAGTATAATTCGCACGATGATTCATAATTAATTCTCACCCGCAGGTGCAACGATCTTGCACTCTCTCTCTCTCGCATGCTACGTCGCGTCTCGCCTTGGGAGATGCGTATACAAAAGTCAATGTGCGCCGCGCGCGTCGTGACCCGCTGACATCACGCGATTTAAAAAAGAAAATAAGCAAAGCGAGAGGAGGAAAAATAATAATCACAATGATCGATCGGTCAACCGCGAGCGGGGAGAGAATTGTATATACATTATTATATATTGGTAAATGGTTATCGTGCGGGAGCGATTTATTTTTAGTGGTTGCGCGCGCGCGCGTCTTTCTTTTAATAAGAAGAGATAAAAAAGAAAATTACAAAGAAAATTATAAAAATAAAACGAAGCAAAAGGGTAAGAGTCAATTCCGCAAATAAACGCGAGTACATAGTAGCAGCCAATCGAGCCACCAAAGATCCTCCTTCCTCCCTCCCCCGCGTAGTAGTATATAGCTACCGCGCGATTTTTAATTAAATCGATCGCGCAGCTGTATACCTGCGAATTTATATCGGCGCCTGCAGCTATATATGCAATAATAATTAAAAATTCCTTGGCCCGCGAAATTGACGAAATTGCTTTTCGATACAATTACACGATGTAGTCGGCTGCATCTACGCACGTCAGCTACACGCATACTACTCCTCTCGTTCGTACCCACGTGTTACACAGGCACCGGCAGGTATACATTACGATATGTATCATCGTCGTGACGTAAAGTACGTATAGTCGCCGATACGCCGCCACTGCCGACAGCAGCAGCGGCACAACACGTGTGTGACACACATAGTAATGGGTATAAGAATTTATTAATTGTCGCGGGTGGATATGTGTATCGGGGGCGGCGGATCGATGCGGACGCACCGAAAGAACGACGCATTATATGCATAAAAGAATGTATATGGGCATAACTTTTCCATATATATAAAAAAAGTAAAGGAGAAGAGGAACTATGCGAAGTACGTTGGGAATATGTATATATACACGGATATACGGCCAGGTGATTATGGAGCGTCGTGTAGAGTCATGTCGCGAGGAAGTAAGTACATATACATATAGTGCACACAGACATATAAGAGCCGAGAAAAGCGGAAGTGGCCCGCATCCGGTCGATTCCGCGCCTGTATTGGTGGTATATAAGCGCACTCGTATATACACACACGTACACGACAGAGGCGGCTCTTTCTTCCTTTTTCTCTCCTTGTATTCGCTCTCTCTCTCTTTATTCGGAATCGGAAGTAAGTCACTTTTTTGACTCCGTATACATACGTGTACGCGCATTCATAATGCGCAGTAGTGGTAACGAGTACGTGCATATTTACCCGAAAGAAAAAAAACAGCAACAACGAACGAAGAAGCGGATAACTAATGAGCAGTAACGACATCCGCGCCCTGTAAGAACGCGACGTATTTTCGCGGGGATAATTGTAGCGCGTATATAATTTGCGAACGCGACGGTATATTGAAATGAAAAAAGGAGTTCTCGAACGCGCGACGCGATGATCGGTGCGTTACATTATCTTACTATATATATATAGACGATAAAGTTCCCCTCCTCCGAGATCCCCTCCTCCAGGCTCCCCTCAAAATAACGTAAAATTGTGTCATTTTTCACGGTATTTTGAGGGTTCCCCTCCTCCAGGCTCCCCTCCTAAAATGCCCCCCCTCCCTCCCCTCCTCCAGGCTCCCCTCCTCCAACCTCCCCTGCTCTGACATGTTATTGTTAATAACATTGACAAATTTCTAAAAAAAATTGGAATTCGTTTATTACAAATGAAGTAAAAGAATAGGCAAAACTATGGGTTTGAGTTTTACACTACTATAAAGAATATCGTTTCCACATTACCTATGAACAGTATTAGTTCTTGCATATTTTACATTATTGTTACTTCCTATTAATGTACATAATTGCAAATTGAAATGAAATACATTTTATTTTTTAA